GAAGTGTGATTTTGAAAATTATTTCTGATCATCAGAGCCTGTGCTTCAGCACATTGTTACTTTCATCATCTTTCTGGGAATTTGTGTGTAACCAGTTATTGTACATTTTGGTTGTAAAGATTGTTAAAAGTTATCTGCCCTCCCAGAGTTCCACCTTGTTGCGTCACCGTCTGTTGCAAGGTGATTTAGGTCTTCTTTCAGACCCAGGTACTGGTGCAGTCTCTTGAAAGCAGTTTTTTGGATTGAGTGACGCAGGTTTGGAAAATGAGTTGTAACCTTGATTCTAGTGTTGCAAGGCAGTGAGCAGCTTGGTCAAATGGATGGGGCTCGTTGTCTCTGTTTCTTTCATTTATTTGTTCATCTTTAAAGAGATAATCCATTATGCTCATTCCGAATAGACCCCTGTGTAGTGCCAGGTTTTGTCCACTTGCAAATGCCAAAAAATGATAACCGTTTAGTGGCTATTTAGTATTAATCAGGGTTCTTCAAAGAAATAGAACCAGTAAGAGGTGTGTGTGTGTGTATGTGTGTGTGTGTGTGTGTGTGTGTGTGTGTGTGTGTAATAGGAATTGTATCGTGAGGTAATGGAGGCTGAGAAGTTCCATAGTTTGCTCTTTGCAAGCTGAAAAACCAGAAAAGCAGGTGGTGTAGTAATTCATTCAAGTGCGTAGACCTGAGAACTGAGCGGCCACTGACATAATTCCTTGAGTCGGAAGCCCGAGAACCAGGAACTCCAATGTCTGATGGCAGGAAAAGATGGACATCCCAGCTCAAGAATAGAGAGGATTTGCCCTTTCTTCCCCTTTTTGTTACATTCGGGCCCCCAACAGATTGGATGATGCCTGCCCACATCCAAGGGCCAGTGTGCTGAGTCAAATTCTTGTCCCTTCCAGAGACACCCCTACAGACCAGACCAGTTATCTGGGCATCTATCTCTTAGTGCAGTCAGGTTGCACACATACAATTAACCATCACACCACTAAACAGGATTCTGTTAGAAACTTGAAGTGTGGACCCCAGATGGGAGAGGTGCTACAGTCATAGTCTTTTTGAAGGTCAGGTGATCACCTTGGGAGGTGTGGGTAGGTGGTGACTCCTACCAGTGGTGGTCTTTCAGGCCTCCTTACATCCTTAACCTGAGGATGCTGGAGGAAAGAAGGGCATTTTAGGACAAAAGAAGAATTGTTGCCATTGAGTCAACAAAGTAGCCAGAAATTTTCTTGTGTTCACCCTCTTAGTTAAAAGGAAACAAAGTATTTACTTAATGTCTCTATATTAGGAAGCTTTGTGCATGACAATGTATTTATTTATAGTAGATACTTGGAACCCTTTCACCTCTTTGAGAAAGATACTTGTAGTCAGTGCCTAGGCATCTCCCCTGGTGCCCTGGCACCCGAGTCAGAGTGAAACTCAGATGGGTGGACCTGGCTAGCCTGGTGGCACTTAGGTTTTCCTGTAATATTTTGTGGCATTTTGAACTGTAATGGCTATAAAGCTGTAGTTGAAGCTATATTTATATATAGTTTTCTAAAAAATCTTACATTCCTGGTATCTTATGTTATAGAAGTCGAGTAGTGGCTTGAAATATAGCAAGATATTTTCTACCTAATTTCATTCCTATTGATCTCAGTTGGTTCTAGTGTTTATCCACAAAGTTGAATAACTGTGATCCTCTGATACAGATGTCCCGAGTAGGTGTTTACCCTCTTAGGCTCAGTGTCCTGACTACAATTCAGAGTTTGTGTAGACATTTCTGAATATTGCAGTAAACCTCTAATACTCATCACTGTGAACCTTGGTGTGACTATCTTGTGGAAATGAATGAAAAGTTTCTTCAAAAGATATATTCTTAAGCCATACAGTATGCAGATGTTAGTCACTTCTACTCTCTAAGTTTCTGGAAAAGTCATATTGGCTATTCTGGTTTTATAAAACAAATTTGGTCTGGTTTCACCTGAATTTGAATCTAGATCTTCCATTATTTGGAATGTAAAATCTCAAGAACTAAGTAGTTAAAAATGTGACTTTGTGAGGTTGTTCATTTGATGGTTATCCATCTTCATATCCTGGTTAGGTTGTCTTTGGCCTGGTCTCCATCACATTCGATAACAGTAGAAGGACTTGAGTAGCCTGTTGGGAGCTCTGTGGGGGCCCTAATGCTGCCTGCCAAGACCTGACAGGCGATTTATGGGGCTAAGAAGGTCTTTCCTCTGTAATGTAGGTGAATTTAAAATGATTGTCATTCCCATTCTGGTTTGGGGCCTCCTCCCTATTGGGTAAAGGAATCTCCAGTCTGTCTTGTTGGTAATTTGTAAACACTTATTCCTTCTCTCCTACCCCCACCTCCCTGTGCTTCCTTTATTTTTTTAATGTTACGTTAAAAACCGATTTCCAGAGGATGATAGTAAGGCTGGTCCTAGGAAAGACTCAGATTGGCTGTTTAAATCAGTAAAAGTACTGTATTAATAATCGGGAAAGATCTCTGACTTGGATCTCATATTTGGGATGGTTGTGTTTTTACACTGTAGATAAAAATTATTCCTTCAGCAATAGCCTCCTATTTGTTTTTCCTGTCTCAGTTGCCTTTCTTTCTCCCTAGTTTATCTTTGTTCCTTATCTCAGTATGAATGTTTAATTTCAGTTCTGACTTTTGAATTCATTAATTCTCAACCCGTTGGCTGACATTCAAAGCTCTAGAAATCCTCTTCTACCAGACACCCACATCAGGACAGACACCCACATCAGGACAGACACCCACCATCAGGACAGCTTTTTTCTAAACCTAGGTAGGGATGGGTTCGTAGTCTGTCAAACTTTTATTTCCTTAAATTTACACAATCTCCCATTTCAAAGAAGTCCAGGTCAGGGGTGTGGAATAATCCATAACTTAATCCCAAATCAGCTGCTCCCCTTTTTTTGCACATAGCTACCACTCCTCTACAACTAAGCAGATTGGAGGTGCTCCTGGTTGGTGGTTTCCAACCACCTGGAATCAGAATCAGTCTCCTTCTCCTCTCTTTAAAGATAAAATAGTGAGAAATTATTTACTTCCCAGTGGGCTCTTCTCTGTATTCAGAAATATACCCCAGGGTGCCTTCACATAGGAAGCTTCCCACCACATTTTGTTTAAAATGTATCATTTATAACCACTCTGACCTTTATGCAATCGTACAATTATATCTCTAGCCAATAATGAGGCATATTTGTCAGAAATACTTGATATGCTTCTCAAATTGTTGCAAAAGTGAAGATACTTCCACCTAATTTGCTACATGATTTGTTTTTGTATTGCTATTACAAGCATGCTTTTGAATTGGAGAAAAGCAAATTTATAAGCTGCCTCTTAATAGCTTTATGCCTCTTTTCATCTGTAAAACTGGTAGTAATATCCCACATATATTGAGATCTACTTATATTCATTCATTTAATCCTCTTAGAGACTATTATTTTTTCTTCCTCATTTTACATATGAGAAAATCGAGGCTTGGAAAAGTCACTTCCCTGAAGTCACAAGCTGAGTTGCAAATCCATGATTCAAAGTCAGGTGGTATGTGTTGAACCAGATGATCTCCAAGCTCACTTCTGCCTTTAACTTTCTATGATTTTGAGCAGAATCTTTGACTACTGAATAGTGGGAAGAAGATGGAAGTTTCCTTTGGTTGACATTGGAGCCACACCTCTGTGTCTGGCCAAGGTGGCTTTGGTAGCCCTTACTGGGAGAGGGGATTTATTCTGTGCTGCCTTTTGTTGTTCCTTAGTCACAGCAGTCAGCTTCCATGGAAGATGACATTTTAATTTGTAAAACTTCTTTAGAATGGTAAAGTTAGCTAATGCCAGTATGTTGATGTAGAGAAAACACCTCCAACCCCATTTCGTCTACTTGCTTTTGTCTGAGGAAGAAATCTAAGCAGAAGCATGTAAGATGGAAGTGAACATAGAAATCATCTTGTTCTGTGCCTTCACTTGTCACATGGCTTGGTGACTCCACTAAGGTCACCCCCAGCTATAGTGATTGCAGACAGGACTAGGATCCTGGATTACCTAGTTTTAGTTTAGTGCCCTGGGAAATCACTTACTACCTCCCTTTGTAGATGTTTAATCTTTAACCAAATTTCTGATCTACTTAGGAAGATGGTGTCTATTTCAGCTACTTAAATCTGTTTAAAACTGTTTACTTTGAATCTACCTCTGCATCACTGGAATTAAGAGTCTGGAGGCTTTTTTGATGCAATGCTGCCACTCTCTGGTCATTGAGTAGTATTGCATGGAAAATCCGGTAAACTTTCTACTGCCTTTGTGGAAGCCTAATCCTTAGGAGTCATAAATCTAGGTACAAATAAACCAGAGCGGTAACTTTTGTGTGTGTGGAAAGTCGAAGATAAGTAAAACAGGGTCCGTGCTCCATAGACTCAGGGTGCTTTCATCAGCACTTATAGCTTGCTCTATTAGTCTGCCATATAACAATAATGCAAATTAAGTGTAGCAGTCAAGTAGAGAGAGAATGTAACTCAGTCTGGGTTGGCAAACTCTGGAGAGATGACTTTGTGCCAGGCCTTGTTGGGTAAGTTCTTTCTAACTTACTGCCTTTAATGGCTTCACAGTGTTTATAAATATTTAGAAAGAATATAGTCGATGAATATTCACCATAATAATTTAAAAATTCAAATAGGAAGATGTATTCATGTAGTTAATACCAAATAAAAATATATAACATTGAATGAATTAATCAAACTGGGGAGGTTTAGAGATTCAAGTTTGGTCTCCGTTGTTTCTCCAAATGAGCAGCTTTCAGGGATCTGGTCAGAGGGCTGCTGTGGCTGGGATTTAGAAAAAATAAATTTGACTCATAATTGACTTGTGTACTTTTGTGGTCCTGGTGGTAATTGTGTGTCTCACTCTATGCCTGTTCACCTGTTTCCAGGGCTTTTGTTCATGGGTGTGGTATGCAGCTCTGGGCACCTGAAATCCTGTTCCTAATGCTGTTAGATTTTCCTTTTCAGAGTAAGAGGGACCACCTACTCATGAACGTCAAATGGTACTACCGTCAGTCTGAAGTTCCAGATTCTGTGTATCAGCATTTGGTTCAGGATCGACATAATGAAAATGGTAAGTACGCCTTTCTGGTTTGCTTCTTATACTTGCTTAGTTCTTGGGCAGCGTTCTTTCCAAAAACATTCATTAGGTGGAGATAACTACTATGAAAATAATTTCCTACAAAAGTATCATATAAATAAGGACATTACTGGAGCATTCAGTTTTTGCTGAGTCCTCTCATTATTTTTTGGCTTAAAAAAGAAACAACCTGAGCATGTACTGATGGTGTTTCCTCTTAGACTGGGAATAATTGTTCTTCGGACATGACAATAATTTCATTTTTTATTTCTTTTCTCACTTAGTGGGAGGTAATAATACTTAAAGTCCTACAGAATTGTATTTTATTTCTTTCCTCTTTCAACAGTTTACATTATTGAACTTCTCTGTATTCAGGGTTTTCAACTTCAGTTTTCAAAGCAAAGCTTTCCTGAATATTTTGGAATCCAGCCTGCCACTGGACTTTCAGAACAATAGAAAGGTTGTTGAGAGTATCTTTTTAATTTTTTCTTCCTTTGGTACTATAGTTTCTAGCAGAAACTTTATTAACACATGAAATATGTGCATAAAATATATATTACATTTGTCCAGATATGTAATAGTTCCTTTTTATTGATTTTTGAGGGCACAAGACCTGATTCACATTTGTTGCCCACTAATTATGTGTCACTCCCTACTTCCAGATGAGGATATTGAGGCTTAGAGATGCTGAGGAAGTTGCCAAGGCCACAGATCTAAGCGGTAGCCGCCGGGCAAGGACTTGGCTCTCTCTTTGATGTCTGTGCCCTTCGCTCTTCACATTGCTGTTGTGATAGGTTTTAAATTCAACAAACTGTCATCAAAAATAGTTTTGAAGAATAATAGAATGATGTTCTTTCATATCTTATTTTTTCTTTGAAGCTATGAAAACATCTTAAAGCAGTTAAAGTATATAGTTTGTTATTTAAAATAGTAACTTTGTCATTCTTCTCTGTGGAAACTGATATCACTCAATCCTGGACTATTTAGCAATAAAAAAAATAAGATGAACAGGATGACTAAATATTTAGCAGTTGTTAGATTGCTGAAATGTGATAGTTGTTTCTTCCCATTTTTCTTTTTCTAAGCAATTTTGCTCTTCATGCATTGCAGCAAACTGTGGGGACTTGGGTTAGGGGTATAAAACTCGTCCAGTGGCACACTTTGTTTCTGTTATTCTGATTACACAATATTCCTCTTCTCTGTTTTGCTGCTCAGGCCTGGTTATTTATTTTGCTTTCTTTAGTGGGAGGTGACCCTGAAAGAAAAAGTGTGGAACATTTTCCTAATTGTTTTGGGAAACTCAATTTTAATATCCTCTTAATGAATTAATTTTTTGACAGACTCTGGAAGAGAACTTGTCATTACAGACCCAGTTATCAAGAACCGAGAGCTCTTCATTTCTGATTATGTAGACACCTACCATGCTGCCGCCCTTAGGTGAGTGCCAGAAGCTGTTCCTGTGGAGAAGGCACCCAGCTGGGGAGGCAGAGAGGCTAAGCCATCCTGGTCTGTTTTGATGATCATGATGCCAATCGGATTATTCCTGTGGTCTCCAGAGGCTAACATTCCAGTGTTAATAACTCCGTGTGTTATTGGGGTTTCAGAGGTTGCCTGTATTTCCACAAACATGTTGATGGGGAGGGAAAAGGGAAGATTTTTTTCTATTTCATTTTTTATACCCTTTCTATAGTTTCTTATCTGTATTTCCTTGAAAATTATTACCCGGTATCCATTGTTAAAGTGTTCAGGGCAAAGTGTTGTGGTGTTCTGCAGATTCTTACCTAGAGATTCAGTTAGTACCCAAAAGTCATGCAGGTAAAGAAATGGAGGAAACAAAGACAGCATCACAAAATTAACTGAGCATGTTATTAATTATAAACCTAGGAAAAGTTTGTAGGATTTCCAATGACTTAGTCATTCACTTCTCTGTACGTATGAACAATTTTCAACTAAAAAGCTTGGGGCAGGGAGAACGTACTGAAGACTTTATTCCAAGGCAAAAGATAACATTGCAAACTCCTCTTAATGTCTTAGGTAATTTGGCCAAGAAGTGGCCATGAGCTTCTGCCTGTGTCCTCTGGTATTTTCTTTCTTTTCTCCCTTTCAAGAAAAGGATACACATATATTGTAGCCTGTTTTGTGTATAAGCGGAAGATTTTGGGCTTCTTAAGTGGTACAGGAAGTAAGGCAAGTAATAACTTTCCTCATTGGAAATAATAAAGTGATGGAAGAACTACTGTATTTGTTAAAGTACATGGTTTTCTTCAAAAGGCCACAAGGATATGCTGGCTTTTAGCTTAAAACTGTGATGAGATACAATGATTTCTCTATTATGTTGCTCAGATGGTGTTCACTAAAACCATCTGGAGTCTCTTGTGCAAAGCTGCATAGCAAAAGCCAATTATTTTCAAGGAAAATTTGTAGCAACTTTTAATATAGGGCAGGTTCTAGTCAATTTTGGGGGCATATAGTCTTTCATATGGTCCTACTGCAACTTCTTGCCTCAGTCGTTGTAGCGCAGAAGCCACAGATGGCATGAAGGAGGTGGCTGTGCTCCAACAGAACTTTGTTTATGAACACCGAGACCTGAATTTCATTTAATTTCCACATCTCAGGAGGAGTATTATTTTTCTTTTGATTTCTTTTTCTGCCATTTAAAAATGTAAAAGCCATTCGTAGTTCTTGGACTCTACAAGAACAGGCACCGGGCCAGATTTATCGTGTGGATCATAGTTTGCCAAACCCTGTGCAGGGGGAAAAGTGTGCGTGCTTAGAGTGGGCTTCCTACAGGACTTTATAGATAAATTTGCAGAATTCCTGTGATGTTTTATAAACTTTTTTCATAATTCCCACAAACTTTTTATGTCTTTGTGGCAGTGGCTTATGGATCTTAAACTTACATGCTGAACAAAGCAAGTTAATGGAAGGTTGGCTAGATTGATGAATCCATTAAATTGTTAGCTAAGACAAGTAGCTTGATCCTGGGATTATTTCTTATCCTGCTTTGCATGCTTTTCCCTGCTCTTCCCATCTTGTTTCATTGGTTGAGATAAATGATTTCAAGCAATTCAGAGTTGAAGTTAAATAAGTACGAGATATATATGTGTAACTCTGGTTATTCAACATGTTTTCACATAATGGCTTAAAATGACTATATTTGAATATATTTCAAAAGATACTCAGATTTGTAGAGTTAATGCTAACTACATTAGCATTTCTAGAAGAACCAGTTGTCTCAGATAATTCCAGCTAGACCCAGATGAATAAATGATTTTTATAATCAGATATATTTCTGGAGATGTGTCATTGTATGGGGTCACTGTCCCGCCACTAGCTACTAAGGGCTGAAGCGCTAAAGTGGAAATACCTTATCTACTTTCCACTGTGTATATGACTAGAACGCTTACTGATTAGTTTGTTTCTCTTGTGGTATTTTCATTAAAGGGCTATAAAGTGGTTTTATAATGCTGTCATCTTAAATTTGATTATCTTAGTTTCAAATAGACATCTCTCATATTACTTAACAATTTTTTTTATTTTTCTTTTAATATACTAGATGAAAGTGGTCACATAATTACTGAAAGATCTGGCCTAGTAGGTGCTCAATAAATATCTGTGGACTTTTGACATTTGCCCACATCTGGAGCGCATCTCTGCGGGTCTTGCTGTACTGTAGTCTTTCTTGCCTGGTTCTCCGTGGCAGAGTGCTCACTGTAAGATCATCTCCAGTAGAAGAACTGAATGTCAGTGCCCCCAAGAATCTCTAGTTATACCTTTTCTCTTCACCAAAGCTAGACTACTTTACGTTTTTTTTTTTTAAATTGAAGATTATATTTATTTATTTTAGAGCGAGAGAAAGGGAGAGAGAAAGAGAGGGAAAGAAACATCAATGTGTGGGGTTGCCTCTTGCACACCTCCTACTGGGGACCTGGCCCACAACCCACACTGTGCCCTGACTGGGATCTGACTGGTGACCCTCTGGTTTTGCAGGCCAGCGCTCAATCCATTAAGCCACATCAGCCAGGACTAGATTACTTTAATTTTAAAATATGGGGGTGGGGGGAATTAAGCTTTTCCTTCCAATTTTCCTTTACCATTTATCCTCAGATTTTTTCTTTCTCCATAGATATAAAGCAGTGTTGCCAAAAATAACTTCAGTTTTGAAAGAGAGACAAATAATCCATAGGCATATGAAAGAGGATCAAATGACTATAATGAAAAAAAATGGACAGAAAAGAAAAAGGAAAGAAAAAGACTGATAGTGTTAGTGCTTGGCACCATTCTTCTCAAAAATGAAAGTGCTCAGCCCTGTGGATTCCTTGGGCTCACAGTAACTCAGAGGGGACTCTGCCCATGCCATTCACTCAGGAGGAAAGTGGTGTAGAACTTGCTCTTTAGGGTGGTGCTGGGTTGGGTTTTCAGGAGAGAGAACCTTGTCCTTTAGCTGTCATCAAGCAAAAGGAAAGCAGAATTCCTCTGCAGACTTTTCTGTGGAAATTGAGATTGTAGCATTTTCATACCCAAAGTAGGTTTATTTCCAGAAGAGAGCGTAGGATCTTCACAGTTGTAGAAACCTGCGTTGAGGTCCTGTATTGCTGCTCTGCTGCTTCTTGCCTGGACTGCTCTCATGCCCACCTTTCAAGCTAAGTTTCTACAGCTGTTTCTTTTGTTCATTACATTTGTCAGTAATCATATAGTAAAGCTAGTATTTGAGTATTTGAGTTCTCTTTATTTCCAGGTAAGTGTTTTTGGTTGACCCTGGTATAGTAGCAAAAGTGTCACATTAAAATTAGACTTCAGTTTGAATCCTGGTTCTGCCACATAGTTTTGTGACCAAGGTCAAGTGTGTTTACGTTTGAGCCATCCTTTTGACAAACTTACTCAAGGTCACAGGATTAAGTGACAGAACCCTGCACTAAGCACACATCTTCTGGGCACCCATCTTCTGTTTCTGTATTCAGTAAGATAAGATGGATAAGCAGGTCTCTCGCAGAGTATCTCATACTCAACAGTGTGAGTGGTGCTTATGCTTATTGAATATGAATTGGGTTCTTAAAAGGAAGAGAAGAAAAAGTGAAATCAAATGGAATTCTGTATCCAGTTATTGATGTTACAATTACTTAGCATCCATTTATTTTAGTTTTCTGTGGCTTATCCAGTGGATTAATTGGCTACACAGAGTATTCCAGGCGTGGGGGGAAGAGTTTAGCTCAAGGACCCATCTCCAGTTGCTCCAAGAATGAGTAGGTAAACCTTTAGTGAGAATGAACAGATACACTTTATTCAACTAAATAAAAAGTATAGCTTGTGGTTTGTTTGCTCTGTTAACGTTTTTTACCCAAAGATAGTGTGTTATTGATATTCAGAGGATCTAGAGTGATTGCTCTGGAGCAGACTGTGAGCTGTGGCCTGTGCCAGCTGGAACAGTGGGCTCTCCAGCACTGATTGTGGGGTAGGCACAGGAGAGCTGAACGCCTTCTGAGCTTGAGGGCTCTTCCAACTTTCTGATTATCTGTTTCCTACTTCATGCCATTGTTTGGGGGTGGGGGGAAATCCTAAAATAGGTCAGGTTATAAGCTATCATTTTACTAGGAATTTATATTATAGGAATATGTTTTAGAGCACATTTTCTGGAAACCCAGGGCCAAGAATCCTAAACTAGCTATTTAGAGCTTCTCATCTCCTCATCCCAAATTAACTTATCACCTTACTTTGTTATGGGCAGCCAGCTCATATGGGCAGACCAATCAGGTCTCAGATCTAATTAATTGAATTCTTTAAAAAATGCTAATATCTCATTAAAAAATACATGACCAACTGAGATTTATTTCAGGAATGCAAAGGTAGGTTACTATTAGAGACTCTGTTAATATCATTTGTCATGCTAATAAAGCTAAGGAAAAAACCCTGCCTCTAAAGACTATGATTATGATATGATAATTTCTAAAGCTAGTGTCATATTTAATGGGAATATCCAAGAGACATTTCCACTGATATCAGGAACAAAGCAAGGATGCCCACTACTTCCCCATTGTCTTAGAGGTACAGTGCAGCTAGGTGTTTAAGAAAGGGTAAAGAACTAAAAGTGTGTTTATTTGCAAGTAACAGATAGCGTATCTGGAAAATCTCAGAGAACCAATGCTTAAACTTTATCAGTTACCAAAGAATCAGCCAGTTAACAGGCTATAAAATTAACATACACAATTAATGGTAGGTAAAGTCACATTTATTAAAGCTTTACAGTTATTTATCAGAGAATATCCTTCTATTCTACCACTTTTGTTTTTCTGTAAACCAGTTGCATGGTGTGTGTGGGGGTGCTGTCAGGTAGAGGTCAGGAACGCTGCTAAGTACAGGACAGCCCCTGGCACCAGGGTGTCAGCAGTGCTGAGACTGAGAAACCCTGTCTTAAAAATACCTACTTCCTAATGCCTGTGTTAAGAATTGTGGGTTCGTAGAGTTTTTATATTTGTAACTAATACGTCAACAATTATTCAACTTTAATGGTATATGTAAATTTGAGCAATGGCAAAGAATAATAAAAGAAGACTCACTTTCCTTTAGTAATGGGCAATGATAGTGAAAAGAACTTATTTTACATAGTACTGAATAGTATACAAAGTTTCATAGACTTTTTCATATGCTTCTTATTTGATCTTGACATTTTTATGAGCTAGAGTAGGTATTTTTATCACTATTTTTTCTTTCTTCAGGGACTAAATTACTTCAGATAGATGGGTAGTAAGTTGTAGAGTGAGTTCATTCTTCATCTGTAAAGTGACCTTAACCTACTTTTTCTTAATTCCAGCTAAATACTGGAGGGATATAGGTCCTGGGCCTGGCAAGTTGATGCCTGTTTCATATTTTCTTTAATTGTATCTGTGCTTACAATAGAACTTTGTGCAGTGATGAAAATGTATAAATCTGTGCTGTTCAATATGGTAGCTGTTGGTCACATGTAGCTCTTTAAATATATATTAATTGAGAAGAAATAAAATTGGTTGGAGTGTTTGTCTTGTACACCAAAAGGATACGTACCTACGTTGTGGGTTTAATCCCTGGTCGGGGCACATACAGGAGGCAGCTGATCTATGTTTATCTCTCACATCAATATTTCTCTCTCTCCTCCCCCTCCTTTTCTAACCTCCCCCCCCTTCAACAAACATATTCAGGTGAAGATTTTAAAAAATTAAATAAAATTTAAAATGTATTTCTCCTTAGTTGTGCTACCCACATTTCAAGTGCTTGATAGCCCTGCATTATCTTCTAATCAGTACTTCCCAAAGGAACTTTAACAAATCAGTAGACTTTGTTTTTAAAGATTTTATTTATTTATTAGCAGAGGGAAAGAGAAAGAAAGAAAGGGAGAGAAACATTAATGTATGGCTGCCTCTTGCATGCCCCTACTGGGGACCAGGCCTGCCACCCAGGCATGTGCCCTGACTGGGAATTGAACCTTCGACCCTTTGGTTCAAAGGCAGGCACTCAGTCCACTGAGCCACACCAGCCAGGGCCAAATCAGTAGAACGTTTACTTAATTTTAAAAGTAGCAATTGTTAGAGCCCATCTTAGCTTCTGCCCATTACTGAAGCTTTGGTCACAGTTACTTGAGCCCTGTGGGAAAGGAGGACATTGCCTTTTCATTTCTTGGCAGGAAATGAATAAATGTTCATGTCCATGTGGCTATCCCTCAGCCAGTTTTTTTTCACTAACACCTTGGCCATTAGCTGGAGTATGTATTGTTAACATCCAACTCATGGAGTCCTATGGGAGTGGAATGCCTGGTCAAGCCGTGGGAGGTCACATTCCAGGAAGGATCCTGGTGCGCTCTTGATGTGCCAAGTTCATCTAATTTAACCACAGCCTTTAGCTCCCCCTTGGCATGAAATTTAACTTCTGTGACCACAAGGGAGTTGAAGTTCTTAAAACCTTCCTGCCTTCTAGGAAATAAACCTCCCTACCTTCCAGGAAATTACCCCAACGTGTACGCACCCACATGTGCGTGTGTGTGTGCGCACGTGCTTGCGCTTGTAGTGGAGAGGTGAGCCCAGCTGCCTGCTGTAATGTTTCTGACAGTTACATTTGGTGCATGGAAACACAGCGTAAGGAGTTCTGCAGTGCTGGAGAGTTTTCAGCCATATGTGGTTTAAACTTTTGTTGGTACATGAACCTGGGAACCTACATTTCCCATGGGAAAGTGTTTCCAATTTACAATCATTTAATGTTACTCAAAAATTGAAAGTTGTTGTTTGTACATATTTAAAAAGTTAAAATTGCTGTTTTAATTTTCAAGTCAGTTTATTTCTTGTATGTTAAAAGAGAAAAAATGTATGTATCAATTATATATTTTGCCTGTCATAAGGTAATAGGAAGAAAAGGCCCATTTTGTTTTGATGATGTAGAAGGGTTTTAGATGGATGTTTTTATAATTTAACTGTAGTTTTAACTTTCCTTTATCATTTCTGATTTAATATCCTTTTATCAGTCCTGCCCTCATTTATCTTTGTGGTTTAATTTTACTATATTACTAAAATGTTGAGATCAAAGCAGTTAAGGCCCTGACCAGGTAGCTCACTTGGTTAGAGAGTCGTCCCAATATGCCAAGGTTGCAGGTTCAATCCCTGGTCAGGGCACAGACAGGCATCAACCAATGAATGCATAAATAAGTGGAATACCAAGCTGATGTCTCTCTCTCTAAAAATCAGTAAATAAAAATTTAAAAAGCAATTGAGTTGTGAAGTTGTAGGTTGAGGGAGTCATGAAGCAAAAATATATATAATATTGGGCATTTTCTTCTTTTGGGAATTCCCAGTTTTCTTAACAGATAATTATAGAATTTGTAGCTATATTCTACATGTTCTGAGAGTGATGTGGATTTAGTTATATCTTCACCGATCCCTACCCCTCCAATAGTATTGGTTTGCAAAGCAATAGAGAGTATTACTAATGTATTTTTGTTTGTTTATTTTCAGAGGGAAATGTAACATCTCTCATTTTTCTGACATATTTGCTGCTAGAGAGTTTAAAGCCCGAGTGGATTCATTTTTCTACATATTAGGCTACAACCCTGAGACAAGGTAAGTGAGTCACTGGGCTACTCAGTGAGAACTTCCACTTTCCTCACCATGTGTTTGTGTATACACACCTGGGAATGTGCTAGTAAGATGAGAAAATAAAAAGACCCCAAAAGCCTATATAGTGAACCTCTTTGGAAGGAGTTGTAATTTATGTCTTTGGTATCTCTCTATTATAAAAAGGAAGAAAAGGAAACTTGGGAACATTTGGATTTAGAGAGGACAAGGCCAAAACATGTTCAGTGGGTCCGTATTTTGAACTCGTTACGAATCGCAGGTTACTAGGTTTTGTCACCCCTTCCACGACACCGTTGAAGACAGGACTTGATGGGAAACACTGTGGTTAGTCACTTGTTTTGTTCATTCAGCAAAACTCCAGGAACACTCACCGAAATATCTCTAGTAGGACTGTCGGTATGAGATCTAGTTCTTGGTAAGATCTATGTAATAGATAGAATTATTTATTTTTTATTAAGGACAAAAGAAAGAATGTTAGCAGATGATCAGTAGTCTATACTTGGGACACCCAAGACATAATTTATAAATATAAGGATTTAGAAAGAAATGAAAGATGCTCGGCTCGAAAAAGTAAGTTGAAGAACTGCATTAAATATAATAGGAAGATGGGTAATTGCGTAGTGAAAACCTTTTCCTACATGCTGAGAAATTACATGTAAAATTGAGAATGTTGCTGTTGAGACCATCAGTCTAGGGTCAGTAAAAGGCAATAGATTCTTTTGCTGTGGTTGTAAGAGGCTACATAAAGCTTTATATGTATATTAGGGTCTCTGTAACAATACTAGACCATAGCTATAATGATAATAGTGTAATGGTCACCTTTTTTGGCTTTAGAAAATAGTGAATTTGAGCTTTTATTATTTTTTTTTCAAAGTTTGCCCTGTTCCAATGACAAAGAGACTGGCCAATGGCAATATTTCAAAATCATCCTATATTTTGAAATGCTTATTCTACATGACTGCTCTGTCATGTCCTGTTGCTCAGATGAACCATGGAATGCTTGAACTTGGACTTTTGTCTAGATACAAAGGAGTCTATTATTTTAGTGATGTCATGTTTAACTCTTTGATAAATAGTTGTCATTGCACAAGCTAGACGGTATTAGTGAATTGACTAAATTGCTTTTGTATTTTAAATGTTTGGTTCTTAGGTGTTTCACAACCAGCTAAATTATGTTTTGCTAGTTTTGGTTATGCAACTGTTTTTGCTGAATGCTTATTAAAAGCGGCATATCACTTAACCTATGCAAGCTAGAGACCCACAGTTTCCTGTCTCATTTTCATTGTATATTGTTGGCAGCCATCCAGAGTCATACTTCCCATTTGTTTTAAAATGTGAGTTAGGTTTACAATAGGAGGATATTCTTTGTCTCTCGCATGAAAAAGCAACACAGACTGCCTTTGAGGCGTGTTTATAGGCCCTGCTTTCTGAGTCACTCCTGTGAGTGCTCTGACCCTCCTGGCCACTATTTACTCGTTTCTGTGCTTGTGTTATCCATGCCCAGCTTGTGCTTGGTGTACTATAGGGGTATTGGATGAATTGAAGCGAACAAGTATTTGAATGTCTACTTGGAAGTAAAGTTTGTGACAGACCTTAAACTTCTCACAAATTGAGTGTAAAAATTGGGTCAGTAGAGCTGGTGTGGCCCATGGCCCACTGCTTGGGCTCATTAGTTTTTCACCCGGAACGACTCCATACCAGTGAGCTTGGGGTTGGGTGTACAGTTCCTGCAGTCTCTCAGATGGTCAAAATGGTGTATATGATTTAACAGATTGTGGGAAAACTGTTTCCTTCACCTGGCTGTGCACAACCCAGTCTTTAGAATGCTCAAGGGTGCATATCTTTGCAGAACTGACCCATTAGTCTGTTTCTGTCTTTGTGTCAAGTTTGTGAGGAATAGGGCTGTGTGATGCGCAGGTTTCTGGGTGGTTCTTCCCCTGATTTGAATGAGTGAGACTGGTATGCAGTCATAGCTGCGAGGTGCTGTGTGCTGACTCAGTGCCCTGAGTCATTTGGAGAGGAAACATCAAACTGTGGGAACAGTCCTGGGAGGTAGTATGAGACCACTGCTAGGTAAAAGAATGGTGACTGTGACTGCAGACTTTGGTCACTGGTCGGTCCCTCCTCTTAAATAAGGCAGGGACTTTGCTCTAAGTGAGCAGTTGAAATTGAAGTAGTATTATCATTTCTCATAGCAAATTTTCTTATAATATTTCAAAGTTGATTTATTATGTTATTTTCCTTAATTTATTTAGTATATTAGCAAGCACTGAAAGTTTGTAGTTTTTTTTCACGTGGTTTTTTTTTTTTTTTGTATAAGTCTTTCTCAAATCCCAGTGTTCGGCTACATTTTTTTTTTTCCTAACCTGGTTTTTATAATGGTGTTTTTGGTCAGGGACCTGGTCATCCAGAACTTTTGGTTCTGATGGTATTAGTTTTTGGAACACATATATGATTAGGGGAACAGGCTTGTCACTGCCTTTAAAATTTGGGAGATCCATAATCTCTTACCTTTAATTATGCAATCTGAATGCTCTGAAAAAAAAAATCAAAAGATTATTAGGCTAAGTTTGGTGCTGACACTCATTTGGTTGTCACACCTGACTTGAATAGATATGATGCAGTTCTGAATTTTGTTCACTTTGTGTAAGTTTGCACAACTTTGTATAACAAAAGTACTAATAGGTTAGTGATCATTTCTCAGACACTACTTGAGTGTAACATATTATATGGTATATTCACCATGGTTCCTTTCTTCTTTTAAAGATTTTGTTTATTTCTATTTAGAAAGAGGGGAAGGGAGGGAGAAAGAGAGGGAGAGAAACATCAGTGCGTTATTCATTGCTTCTCACGTGGCCACCACTGGGGGCCCAGACCTGGCCTGCAACCCAGGCAGGTGCCCTGACTGGGAATCGAACCAGCAACCGTCTGGTTTGTAGCCCGCGCTCAATCCACTGAACTATACCAGCCAGGGCAGTATAGTTCCTTTCTAAATCCCAAAAGTTCTGAATTCTGAAAATCCTCTGATGCTACGGATGTTAGCTAAGGGACTGTGACACTGTATTTTTTGCTAGCCCTGATGTTTAAGGAACAAACTTTAATTGAGAAAAAAAAAGGGGGGGACAGATGTTTCTGGTTTTAAGTAGGATATAAGCTACAAGGTGCTGACAAGTGAGAGAGGCTTGAATCTAATGCTAGCCTAAACTTTGAACCCTTAGGTAATTGGGCTTTGCTTTTGGAGTTTGTTTTGACATTTCTGCACTTGGGGTGTTGTTCACTTTTGTTTTATGTACAAGATTTGTCCCAAATTTACTTCTGTAGTTAGCAGACTCTGACTCAGGCCAATGAATTAGGAGGGGAGGAAGGAAGTAATGGTGAATGGAGTTCCAGAAAGAACAAAATATAGGGCCTACTTGAGAGGAGGTCCCTTTATCTTTAAATTACAAGCATGAACTTCCCCAAGAACGAGTGCATTTGTTTCCTCTTGCTTCTAAGAGTTCTTTAGGTCCCCAAAGTGCATTTAGGGATAGTGAAGAAAACATATAATTTAAAATGGAGCATTTTGTATTCACAGTTACTGATACATTGTCTCTTTTTCCCCCTTCCCCATACTTTCTTTTTTATAAAAGCATTAGTGGTCTTGGTCTGCAGCAGGTAACATCCAGTTATTTTCTTAGTTCTTCATATTTTCAACAAGAGTCGTATGTTAGCTATCAGGTGGGAAACAGTCTGTTCTCCCATCTTACCCAGGAGAGAATGTACTTGATCAGCTGTGGTCACCTGCAATCAGCTGTGCCCTCTCCACTTTTTTCCTTCCAGGAAGGAGCTTCTTCTTCTTCTTCTTTTTTAAAGCAGTAATGAGTCTTAAGGATCATTATCGTTGTATTTAGTAGAAATCGTAAACCGAGGCATTTTCAAGGTTTTAGGTTTAATCTCTCCCTGACTAACAATGGCAGTATGTTACTAATAATAGCTACAGTTAGCGCCACGTGCCCAGGGCTGCTGTGAGTGTCGTACCTGCATACCTCATTTTACTCTGCTTTGTTTTGAAGTGGTCTCAATCTTACAGAACAGTTGCAAGTACAGTAGAAGACCCTTCTTCACTGAACCATGTGAAAGTATGTTGTGGTGTGTTTATGGGCCCAGCGGCGACCCTTTAGTTCTCAGGCCAGCACTCAATCCACAGAGTCACACCAGCCAGAGCTGGCTTTCTATTTTAATCATTTGTTTATAATCTGTTACTAATCATTTCGAGGTCAGTTTGTCACAGATTTTGGAGAATGATACTTAGAAACCAAGATCTGGTGGTAGTTATGCTCATTATTTTGTGTTACTGTTCTCAGGCTTTTGAACAAACAGAGCTAGTGTGTGTGTGTGTGTGTGTGTGTGTGTGTGTGTGTGTGTGCGCGCGCACGCACATTTACATCTGTATTTCTGTATCTTTGTATATCCATGACTTCATAGCAAATTTTCCAGTTCTAATCTAATATCACAGGGTTCCTACTAGTTTTGCCCATTTCCTTCTTTTGCAATCCTCATCTTTAACATTAAGAAACCTTATTTCATTATCCTTGATATCTTTACTTCATTTTTTAAAAATATATTTTATTGATTATGCCATTATAGTTGTCCCATTTCCCCCCTCCAGTCCCCTCCACCCTACACACCCCCTCCCCCATCATTCCGCCCCTTTAGTTTATGTTCATGTGTCACAAGTTCTTTAGATTCTGTATTTCCCATACTATTCTTGCCCTCCCCCCTGTCTATTTTCTACCTACTGTCTATGCTACTTATTCTCTGTACCTTCTCTCCCCTTCTCCTCCTCCCACTCCCCTGTTGCTAACCCTCAAGGTGATCTCCATTTCTGTGGTTCCACTCCTGATCTAGCTGTCCTCTTAGTTTGCTTTTATTTTAGGTGTGGTTATCAATAACTGTGAGTTTGCTGCCCTTTCACTGTTCATTTTTTATCTTCTTTTTCTTAGGTA